CCCCCCCCCCCCCCCCCCCCCCCCCCCCCCCCCCCCCCCCCCCCCCCCCCCCCCCCCCCAGTTCGTACAGTTACCGCGGGAGGCAGCCTCGTGGTAGAGGTGGTTGCCCATGACGGTTGTGGTTTCGTTGAGCAGCTTGGAGATTTCGGGGTCGGATTTGTCTTCGAGGAGTTCGGTCAGGAGCTCGACGTTGTCGCGCCGGCAGGCCTCGATGAGCTGCTCCTCGATGGAGGCGCCCTGTGAGGGAAGAGGAATAGATTAGCTAGACGTGTCCCCTTTTGAATTCTTTAGGTTTCGATATGTTATGCGCGAGGGTTTTCGATGTTTTTTTTTTTTTTTTGTGTAAATGCGTGGTAAATTGGGATGTGACGCACCTCGTGCTCCTCGCCGCTCATGTTTGTTCTTTCTGTTGTTTTCTTAACGGTGAGGTGAATATATCAGATGTTCGATCAGGCTGGAAACGCGCGGAACAAAGGGGACGCTTGAAGAGGGAAACAACAGGAAGAATTTGAAAAAAAGAAGAAGCAGAGAAAACCACCCAGAAACAAAGTGGGAGAGGAATAATGGACGAGGCGAAGCAAGTTCCGATAGCGATACGCATGAACAAGTAGCGGTGATAGGCGGGAAAAGCGCCCCGGGGGACTGGTGGAGGGGTTCGCAGCGTCTGCGCTGAAAGCTAGGGGGGGCAAGGGGGAGGCTTAGCGGGGTCGGTTAGCGCTTTGTTGTGCTGTAGCAAAAGCTGTTACAGGGCGTTGGTTGGTTCTTTCTGCGATGGATGGAATGTCTGGTTCCTTTTTTGCTGACAAGCGCCGTTGGACGGACCCCACCATGGATTTGTTTGGCTCATCGACTTTTTGACTTTTGCGATGCCGAGCTTCAAGTAGTCTTTTTTTCTTCTTCTTCCAAGACTACCTAATAGTACATATCAACTGCATAACCGAGACCGTACCACTTCATCTTCAAAGAGTTGCCATTATCATCTCTAAACCCGCATCTATCCCTTCACCCCTTCTATCCTGACTTGGGGGTTACATAGAACCACAGCAGCCATGCTTCTCTGTAAGCATAAAGAAATGATTCCATATCGTCTGACGTCCCCGACATCTAAACAAAACCCCCCCAGTCTGCCCACACTGCGCAAACATCCTGACCGTCTCCCTGACGCTCAACCGCACGAACCGACTCGAGTGCCGCACATGCCCGTACGAGCACGCCATCACCGACCCGGTCTTCTCGCGCCGCGTCTTCGAGCGCAAGGAGAGGGAGGACGTCTTTGGCGGCCCCGGCGCCTGGGACAATGCGCAAAAGTCAAAGGCGCAGTGCCCCAACGAGGGGTGCACCGGCGAGGAGGCGGCGTTTTTCCAGGTGCAGATTCGAAGTGCCGATGAGCCCATGACGAGTTTCTTCAAGTGCATGACGTGCGGTCACCGATGGCGCGAGAACTGATTGCTGGTTCGTGACGATATTTTCTTTCCTTGTTTTGATATTTTTGGCGTTTGGGAAGGGGGAATATGGGATCGTTATGGAGTATGTTTGGTATATTTCAGCCGCCGGGTTTCGCATAAAGTAGACTTTAAAAAGCGGTGTTCTTCGATTAATTCGACCTTGATAGCTCATGCGTGCTGATTCGTAACGGTATCCGTGTGCATCGTTCAAGTAAAACGTATGGACTGAAGTCTTGCTCTCCACGCCCACATCACCAGTCGTAAACCGTACTCATTTGTCAAGGCTCGCGATGCCACTGCACCGACGCCTTCATCTCGTCCTCAACTAGCCGCTGGACCAAGTCCGGGCTCATGATGTCCTGCCTAAATCTCTCCTGCTGCAGAAGCTGCAGGTGGCGCAGTGTCGGCCCGGGGTATGTCAGGTATTTGAGGTATGGCGGCTTGGACCAATACTGGAGGTAGTCCAGGTAGGCGATGAAGGCGGGCTGGGTGAGGAGCTTCTGGGACGCGAGGTGGTTGAGATAGTAGGGATTGGCGAGTGACTGGACGAACTACAGCAATGTCGGGGGTTAGTATAGCTTTGGAGGGATGACGGGAGTCATGATGGCTTTACCTCGAGCTCAATCTCGAAGCGCGAATAGCCGCCGTACTTGGGCTCTTGGTCTTGGTCTGTTGACGCAGGAACAGCTGGGGTAGAGCTCATGGAGACGTCCTGAGGCGCCTCTGAAGCCATTGTGGCTGTTGCTGTCCTTGAGAATCCGAATAGCTCCTCTAGAGGTTCTGGCGGTGATGCGGATGCGCTGTCGAGCGGATTCTCAAATCAGAGGCTGAATCGCGACGGGTTCTTTGGAGATGAAGTTCAGTTGTATTGTAGCACCAAAAGTGTTGTACCTTGTGCCCAGAGGAGGCTCTAAAAGATTAGTAGGAAGCACGGGGGTTCCACTAATCCCCCACACTCTCTGGCGCTGACCTCATGAGCTACATCAACCTCCTTCTGATATGATTTTAACCTTTAAGAAACTCACCGTATTTTTTCTTTCATTCTTATCTCTGTTACAGTTTGCATCTTTTGCAGCTGAAACACGCGTCAATTGGTGCGATCCTGATACTATAAAAGTGCTTCTCCAATGCGCCAATGCTTCTGAGCCGTTGGTTCCGGCCCTCACATGCTGCCTGGACCTGGAGCCTACCGCGGAGAAACATCAGCTGCACTTATAAGCCAACCAGCAGGTATCAACAGCACAACAATAAGGCTTCCACATCACCATCGCCTACAGATACATCCTCCTCAGAGAATCCACAATCGTCACCACCATCATCTACATACAACACTACAATCCTAGACGACGTATCTTATAAGATGCCGATTCCTCCCTTGTCTTCCTCCTCGCCCTCCTCCGCCACCATCAAGACTCGCATCCTCATCATATCAGACACGCACAGCTCTGTCCCACAAACTAAAGAAGACAATCCCGTCAACACCGAGGATGAGCTCGAAACCCCCAGAGGCAAGCTCTACGCTCCCTCGGGCTTCAGAACCCCGCTCCCCGAGGCAGACGTCGTGCTTCACTGCGGCGACCTGACCAAGCGTGGACAGCCCGAAGAGATCCGCAAAACCTTTTCCATGCTGAGAAAACTACCCGCACCTCTGAAGCTCGTGATTGCGGGAAACCACGACATGATGCTTGACAAGGTGTTTTACGAGCAGCGCTTCGGTGGCGAAGAGGAGGAGTATGACGAAGTGAACCAGATCATCAAGGAAGCCGAGGAGGACGGCGTCAAGTATCTCGCCGAGGGGACGTACGACCTGGACCTCACCAATGGCTCCCGGCTGCGCATCTTTGCAAGTCCAAACACTCCCATATACGGCTACTGGGCATTTCAGTACAAAGCAGGCGAGCACAACTTCGACATCCCGGCTGACGTCGATATCGCCATGACCCACGGCCCTCCCCTGGGCATCCTCGACCAGACGCGTGGGAACAACAACGCCGGCTGCGGAAACCTCTTCCGGTCCATACACCGCGCAAAGCCCAAAATCCACTGCTTCGGTCATATCCACGAAGCATGGGGCGCTCACCTGATCCGATGGAAGGCCGACACCGACATCCCTGGATTCGAGGAGGACGGCACTCGACAGCAGCAAACCGCCGGCTCACAACCAATCATCTCGCCCGCTACCGCTGCCGACTGGGAGAACTCGCGCCTCATTTATACCCTCACGCCACCCCCTATATCCATCCCCACAAACGACTCGGTGGTTGGTAGGGAGGATCGGAACCTCTTGGAGCTAAGCAAGGACCGAGGCTGCTACCTCGACCTCACAGAAGGGGAGAATATGCTCAAGCAGGGAGAGGAGACGCTCTTTGTTAATGCTTCCATTATGAGTATCCGGTACCGTCCATCACAGATGCCCTGGGTGATAGACATCGACTTGCCGAGGACAAGAGCGTAAATCTGTGGCAAAAGCAATTGAAGCCTCGGAGAAACACATTGATTAAACACACGATGAAAGACGACAGAGATACACTAGAATTCCCCACGTCTTCCATCCCATTTTCCAATTGGACGCTATAACAATCTTTTCACGAACAAGACAATGCGACCCCCTCTACGAGCTCACACTTTCAAACAGATGCGAATGATGCCATTAAAGAAAACGATGCCTTAATATATCAGCCTTCATATTATTGCGTTGTGGTATTAAACAAGCGCTCAGTCAGAATCCGCATTATAAAAACAAAACTCAAAAAAAGTAACTCCTTGACCAGATGAGTCAATCATGGTCCCAAGAAAATGAAAGGCCGTTTCGAATGTCCACGCCACTTGATATTATAAACTCGTCACATCATGATTACATGCTAGCCCAATACCTCGACAACTATTAACGATGAAGATGATAACCCTTGCATTACAGAGCTATCAGAGCGGCCAGGACGGCGCCGAGGATGCCAGCCGCGGGGGCAGACGCATCGTTGCCGGCGAGGGTGGTAGAGGCGGGAGCGCCAGAAGTCTGGGAGCCGCCATCACCGCCGTCGACAAAGGCGGTAGAAGTGCGGGTGACGACAGAGCGAACACCGGAGGTGGTGCTGTTGGAGACACCGCCGGGAGGAGAGGTCGGGCTAGTGTGGCCGGCCGAAGTAGCATGAGACGACGAAGAAGCACTAGTCTCTGAAGCGGTGGTCTCGGTGGCCTCGGTGGAAGCAGGGCCGGTGGTAGTAGTGCCTGCGTCGGTGGTAGTGCCTGCGTCGGTGGTAGTGCCTGCGTCGGTGGTGCTGCCAGCCTCGGTGGTGGACTCGGTGGTAGAGCCAGCGGCAGTGGTCTCGCTTGAGGACTCAGAGGCGGAAGTCTGAGAAGAGGCCTCTGTGGAAGAGGAAGAAGAAGAAGAACCGGTGGTGTCCTTCTTGCAGGCGGCGGCAGCGGCAGCTTGGGCCTTTGCGAGGTCGCTGGGGCTGCACTTGCTGATGAGGCAGGGGGCAGCGAGGCCGACGAGCTTGGCCTGGGTTTCGACCTGGCACTGGCAGGCCGTGTCTGTGAGGGCGCAGCCGGCCTTGGGGATGGCGTCCTTCAGGCAGTTGATCTACGACGCGTGTGTTAGTTCTCACGAGCTTGTTGTGTCCGTCTCGTTCTGAGATTTCAACTTACGGCGCAATCAGGCTGGCCGGTGAAGTCCTGGGCGGCAACCAGGCCGGTGAGGAGGAGGGCGACAACGGAGGCCTTCATCGCGAGCGTGTTCTTGTCCTTTTTCTGTTGTTTTCTGTGTGCAAGAAAGCGAGCGAAGGTCTTTGAAGAGCAAAAGATGGAGAGAGCTCAGGAGAAGCACAGGTACAAAAAAACCAGCGAGGGAAAAAAAAAAACAAGAGGGGGGAAAAGAGAGGTGAAGCGTAGTCGGTGGGAAGGAAGGTCTCTTGCTCTTTTTATCAGTCCACCCAGCTTCTGGCTTAGTAGTAGAGAATTTTTGGTGGCAGGCAGGACAGGACAGGGGAGGAGGCCCGGGGAAGCGAAGCGAGCCAGAAAGTGCTGGCAGCTCCCCCAGAATGCACGGCCTTGTCTAGCGGATGCAGGGCCCTGTAGCTGATGGACATTCAGCCGTGAGAGCCCAATGTAGGGACTCGTATTGACAGCCCATCACCGTAGCAGCTGCTATAAACCCGCTGGAACTGGACTGTCACGGATGCGTTAGTGCTCAACTCCATGCCTGATGTGTCCCTCGTACTCGGGCGTTGCTTTGATGTTCCCCCCCAAAAGGGAGCCAATGCTAGTTGGACCAGCTCCAATGGCGAAAAAGCATCTGGATTGATCCAAAAATCCCGCCACAGGGTCCAACGAGTCAAAATCCCGCCGCGCAACAGAGAGAGAAAAAGCAGCTTGCGAGGGGCCCGTCGCTGATTGGATCGTGTAAGTTGGGCCACTGGGCCGGGGGTTGGACAGACGGCGCCACCTGCAAGGTACATGGTGCTAGTTCTTTGCAGCTATTTGCTACTGAATTGTGCCCTTTTTCGTTGCATGGGCGGGGGCTCGCTGTGTGGAGGCCCCCCCCAGAAGGAGAACCGTGCTAGCCAGAGTAGGCTGGAACCCTTGAAGGAGGTGTTTCGGTCTTTTTTGCTTCTTTTCTTGGGGGTTTTATACGAGGTGGGATTTGAAGGTGTTTGTCTGTCTGTTTGTGTACGAGCATCTACTATATGTAGGAGTATATGAGGATGCAGTGCATTCATGCGCATGGATCGGTTCTGCGTGGGATATTTCTTGACAGCTATACATGTATGTGGAAGCTTGAGCAAGCAACAGATGTGGACATTGGAAACAACAGGCCGGACCATCGCCCTCTGTCATTTCGGATTCTGCCGTGTCTCAGCGAGACGGGGAACGAGGCCGAGACTGACAGATGGTGTAACGCGGTTCACAGGGAGTATCAGAAGTCGAGCACCTGGATGCACTATTTATTATCGTATTCATGTAAGTTGTCAGCACAGAGATTGGGGAGAGACGGATATGATTTGATGACATTTGTTTACGTGTTTGGGTGTCAGTCACTGATGTGATGTCCTATGGTACTGTAGACAACAACAACAAGACCATATGTGTTGGCAGACTGTCCCCTAAAACTTCAATGATACAAACTCGTATCAACAATAGAGCACATCCTCAGCTTGTCGCACATTTCAACTCAAAGTATCTGTTCCGAGATACATTTTCTCTTCTCATTCCTATTCTTCTTCTTTTCCCACTCTCTCCTGCACGGCTACGGCTACAGTACCATCCCGCCCGCGTACTTGCGTCTCCAATTGACGTCTCTCTCAAATACTGGCAACGCCATCCCTTGTACGACTCAAAAAAGCAATTGAATCCATGCCGCTTCGGAAACTTGATCGCGGTACAAACGAATCTACAAAAGTCAAAGTTAAGCCATAGACTCTCTCAAATAGGACTCCGATAACCGCCATGCTTGTATACCTGCTACAAAAAAAAAAAGTAGCATGGCATAGAATCCAGCACACACAGCCACACCGAGCTGGAGTGGTCACCCGTCAATGCAACCTCGTATAAGAAAACTGACACACACACGCACGCACATACTCGGCGGGGGTCTGTTTGAACCCAGCCCTTTTTTTCGCTGGGGCGAGACGGTTCGGCGGCTTGGCGGCACGAATTTGGCAATAGATGATGCTGCGGAAGCTTCGTTGTAAATGGCATTCTGTGCTGGGTATCTGTGAGATGGGATGAATGGACATGTGATTGTCTATGTACTCATGAATAGGGGCATCATCAGATATAGCACGTTGGAGAAACGACAAGCTTGTATGATGAGATACCTACCCACCAGTGACCATACATTGTCAGTCTAATCATCCATGATTGTCCTAGTTGGCACCTTGATAGCTGACAATGCCCGATCGTGGGATATGCCGGTTCAAATCGGCTCGCCCATCCTTCTAGGAGGATGGAAGGTTTTGGACACATGATGAGAGTAGGTAGTATTCAGTCATGTCATGTCTGCCAGAGCCAGCCACTTTAATTCTATACGCAGCTCTACAAATCTCATACATTACTCCTAGTAAAAATCAATACAATCATCCTCTACATCAAATCACCGATCATCATCCCAGCGCTGCCGGCTCATGATGATAGGTCTCGCAGGATCCCAAGGCCCCCGAATCTCGTTCTTGTACCTCTGCAGCCCAATCAGCCACCAGCTGCACCCGCCCGTCGCTATAGCAGCAATGACGACGGATACCACCATGCCTCCGATGCCGCGCTTCCACGGCCAACAGTCGGGCTTCGGGTCGGCGATGACAACTCCCACGCCCCATCCCGCCCCGAGAATCAGCAGCATGGTGAGAATCGCATGCTGCCTGAAGCTGCGGTGCTGGACGTATCGCCGAAACACGGGAAACAGACCAAACACTTCGATGCTGAAGAGCGTCAGGCAAAACACCTGCTTTGTAGAAGGTAGGCGGCTCGCTAGCACGGTCGAGGCCATTAGGGCTGCGTTTGTAGATAGCGACGCGGGGAATTTGGCACCGACGCCGCCTGAGTAGTCAAAGAAGAAGATGTTGATGGCTAGCAGCCAGAGCGACATGGCCCAGATGCTGTCGCTCGAGGTGGACTGGGTGAGAGATTTCAGGATGGGGCTGAGCCCGAGGAGCGTGCAGTAGATGAGCAAAGCCGATTTGATTGTGCCGAGGCGCTGGTGCAGGCGGTTTGCCTCGTTTGGTATCGATGGAAAATCGGGCATCACGTCCGAGCTAGCCCTGCGCAGTAATGGTTGGCCATCGGCACTGATGCCATGCCGAGAAGTTCCTCCTAGCGACAGCGGCGACGTGGGCGAGGTCGGAGAGGTGGTGGAAGAGGGAGACGCTATATTGGTTGCCCTCATCTGCTCGTTATCCGGGATCTGCACCCTGATATTGATCGTCGAGTTTCCCGCCGACGGACGCGAAGAAGAGGACTCTGACGTTGGACGACTCGACGTGGTGGAAATGGAACGGGGCGTAATGATGGGTCGACGAATGCTGGCCGCGCGGGCTCGTCGCCGTATGCTCTCCGTCTTGGTCGCAGAGGCAGCGGCGCCGCCCGCCGCCACTTCGTCCTCCTTGTCCTCCTCCTCCGAGACCCATCGCTCCCACAGGATCCAGCCCAGAAAAGTGCTGAAGCTGCTCCCGCTGACGAGGGACACGGGCGATACTCGCCCATGGAAGATGCCCACGAAGCAGACGATGAAGAGGATGACGGAGCACACGTGCTGCAAGATCACCGTGGAGTCGGCCACCAGCGGCCAGAAGTCGTAGGGCTTGAGCCGAGGGTTTCGCTGCAGGTTCTCGAGAAACGTCGCCTGATCGGTATAGTTGTCCGGATCTAGAGAAGAGGGGAGAAGCTGTTAGCCCCCGTCTGTCTGCCTGGAGAAGGCTGAAAAGGGCATAAACGAATGCCCACTGATGAGGCAGACAAAGCCAAAAACTTACACGACTGCTTCACCCACATGAGCTTCTTCCACGTCCTCTTGCGGCGTCGGCTCCTGCTGCGGTCGTCCTTGAGGTGCCTCAGATGGGACAGCGGATCGGCCGGCCCGTCGCCATCGTACGGCTGTCGCAGCGGGTACGTGAAGGCGTCGTGCGGCGACAGGTGCGAGCGGTCCAGCGCATTGAGGCTGAGATTGAGGTTGAGGCCCGCGGCGTGGCTCAGCGCAGGGAAGGGCGTTTCGTCGTCGGTCGGCGAGGGCATCGTGATGTGATGATGCTCGGGCCCTCTGCTGGCTTTTCTTTTTCCTTTTTTAGGGCTTCGCCTCAGCCCGGCGCTTTTCGTCGGCTGCTAGCAGTGTTTTGGGGACTCTGGCGACGGGCTGCTTGCTAGCATGGAGCTGGAGAGGGCATCTGGGGCGTTTCATGTGGTGTTTGCGTTTGCTTTTTTGCTTCCATTCGACAACAACTTGTAAGTTTGTTTGGCGCAAGTCGGGACAAAAGTGCCCTGGCCTGAACCTGGACGTCACTCGCGGGGCGGGAGGGAGGTACAGGTAGGTACTAGCGCGACAGGTGTCCGATACTGAAGAGAAAGCGCTGGCGGGCACCAGACTCCCAAGTATCGTATACTTGCACTCGTGTTCCAGCTCAACTGATACGATAGCTCGAAGCCAAACACGAGTGAGCGACATGTTCAATTGTCTTGTCTAATCCCTCCCTGGCCTGATTGTCTGTCAATGGTAAATCCAAATTCTTTGACGATCCCCTTACTCCGTAGGTACATTGTATCCACCGTCCATCAACTGCCGCCGTTACGTAACGCTCCGGTTGAGCCTCAATCCTCACAGAGCTTCTAGAATGCCGATGGATGCCTAAAATGAAAACAAATTAACAATACGAAAAGGCCAAGCCTCGGCACTTGACACCCGAGAGCCATGTGAAGAGGCGAAATAGAGGCGAAATGCCAAGAGAAATGTATATCTCAAACTAAATCGCTTTGGCGATCTGCGCGTGTTTAAGAGTTACCCTTTTGGGAAATGGGGGCGTCAAGCAGTTGTTTTTTCCTTCTTACAGCACCACGACTACTCCGTACTCTCTCTCTCTCTCTCCCCCTTTTTAATTCTTCTTTCTCTCTTTATTCACCCCAAACGTGCCTCAGAGCATTAGCCCTGCTGTACATAGCCCTCCTCTCTCGTGTTAAAGACCAAAAAAATCCTCCTTCAGCCACCAATGGCTTGCTTCAGGTGGCCGTTGTGAATGGGGCCGTCTAAGACAGGAACGGACGTCCCAATCTCATGCCAACAGAAAAGCTCTCCAAAGCAACGTGGCGGCTCCCACGGCTCCCGTTCCCGCCTCGTAAGCTCCCTCACAAAATCCTTTTCTTTTTTTTTTGGCGGCTCTGCTCAATTCTTACTCTGTTCGGATACCTGCCGAAGCGGAGTTGCCTTTGCCAGGCCCACTATCACGAAAAGGAACCACGTTTGCTAGTCGAGTCTTGCCCGCAACGGCACTTACACGTATTTCCTCTCTTCGGTGGCTAACCTCAGCAACACCATCTGCCAAGCCAGTAATCAGGCATCGCAAATCTCAATTGCGGCTCTTTGGTTTCCTAGAGTAGAAATGAGCGACGGAACTAGATAACTGGATTATATAATATCACCTAAGCTCTCTTACTCCTCTCCTTTTTCCATCGCATCGTGATCATGTCTGCATCCGCCATAGCTTCAACCCCAATCGTCCGTCCACCCAACGATGCGCTAATTCGCCTGCACCATCCCTGCTCACGTACCAAATCAATCTCTGTGCTGTCCCATCTCCACGGGCCAATTGACCGCCAAACGAGGCATGGCCCGACGTCTGCTGCGCCTTGCTTAGCGGATTTTGCTCACTCACGCATATTGCTCCGACCCAGTCATTTACTGGCCGTCAAACGTTGATGAGCTGAGCCGCCGAGACTTTTGTCTCCTCCGCCCCTCTTTGTTAAAAAAAAGCTTAGTTGTTTGTGTTATTGGGGCGTCTTTTTTATTCTCCCCGTCTTGGCTCCTTTTTCCTGGGTCGAGTGTCTGTTCGAGTTTATGCTTGGCGAGTTTGTTCAACTATTGCTTTCTTATATCATTCGCATCTTGAGTCTTTATTTGATAGTCGAGAAACCATATCAAAGACTCTTACAACTCTTTCACTTTTATACCACGTTGGAGCAAGTTCCCTACTCTACGGTCATTCGTTGATTCGTAATCCTATTCAGCCTCCACCTAGGAACCCCGAGAAACCATTTCCAAAAAACAAACCAGTGGCTTCTCCTTCCTTCCTTTCCATCAGCGTCATCGGCATCTCTCCATCAACATGGCCATCAGAACCACTTCTCTCCTCTTGACTATTCTCTACGTCACCGGGCTAGTCCTAAGTGCCCCGACAGCAAGGGACGGCTCTTCACCCCTTGCCGCCATCACAAAGCACTCCCAAGCTGCATCTAAGCGAGACTCGTCGGCGGATCCCAAGAAATATCGTGTTGTCAGAGTTGACAAGGCTCTGTGGGAAAAGGTATCCAAGATTGACCAGCCGACGAAATCCTTCCTCGACGCAACTCTGGAGCTTCTAGAGACGAGCCAAAACACCGAGGTTGTGCCCGTCTTTCCCTCTGACAAGGGGGAATCCGTCATCGTTGACACCGACGGCGATTTGATGGCGTCGTATGGCCAGGATAAGTTTGTTCCTATCTGGAGCCGCGAGAAAAAGCACCACGACGGCTTCCATCGCCACCGTGCCTCTGGCCAACAGCCTGCTCTCTTCATCTTGGGATTTTCTCTGGCACTTGCCCTTGTTTGCTCTTGCATGAGAAAGTAAGTCCAACGTCGTTTCCAATTGTGTTTTTCATTCTTCTCTAATGTTGATTCTTTCATAGTTTGTACCGCCCACAAGATGATTCTGAGAGACAAGAACCTGAGCCTAGTGCGGTCGAAAAAGGGTTGGACTCCAAGAAGGAGCAGCCGTAGCAGGATAGCGACCGGTTTTCACACATGAATGAAGCACATAGCCGGCGGAGACAGAGACACGTATAACTGAAAACAGCGACAAGCGAATGAGCGAGGCGGAGGCTCTTGGGATTGATTTTACACTTGGGGCGTTGAGGGATTTTATCAAGGGCACAGGCACTTGGAAACCACTCGAGATGGGATACAATGCGGGCTGTGTAAGCTGGACTAGAAAATGTATATCAGACACAAAATATTTCACGAGGTATAAGCCACACACACACATATATATATATATAATTTCTAATCGCATATATTCAAGCAAAAGACAGAAGATGCATGAAAATGGATCGCCAAACGAGAGGGTTTCCATCATCGATTAGAGTTTGATTACATGGACGCGTGTACACCTGCAGTGGCTCGCTAGTCTGATTAGTTTAGCCCTGGAATCATAAGGTTATTTGCTACTAACGTATCATCCTATCAGAGAATCCTCCGAGGTCTCTACTCGCCACTTGGCTTTTGGGATTTACAACGAGCACCGTAATGCTAGCCGTCTTGTTATTCACCTGAAAACCCGCTGGATATGATTCAACCGAACAAAGAGCAGCCAAATACCCCTTCTCCATCGAAGAACAGGAGAATCAGAACTACAACCATCTTTGCTTGTTTCTATTCCACCTATTCTTCTTATATCAAGTGCAAGCAGCCAAATGTCCCTATTTGGACGGAATGCTGAGTGCCAAGAAACTAGAAGCCAGAGGAGCAAAGCTGATTAGCCCGCGGGTTCCACACTTTCGGCGAGCCGAACTTTTCTTTTAACCTCGGGTCAAGACATATACGAAACGGCACTGCAACTGACTCTCGCCCTTGAGATTCGGTTTAAAAAAAAAAAAAAAAGAGTGTGAGATTGGGAAATTAAAAACTAGAGAGATTTATGACAATTGTGTCTCATATGATAATTACTTCTGCCTTCCCAACAGAGAAGGACAAGGCAAACTCACCGTTACTAGATACATGTAGGTACTTGAAATATTCTCGGCGTAAGGTGGACAAACAGTGGATTGATTCGGCGCTAAGTGCACTATAAGTGCGGGAGCGGTTAATTTGGCTTGCGGAGTAAGAATGGGGTAACATTCGATATAACTACTACTCCCGACTACGATATCAACGGGGCTTCGGCTGCTGTTCTTTCGCTGCTTCTTACGACGGCGAGCTCCAGAGACATCTCCTTTATGCAATTCGTATTTCATCTACGTACTTACCGATTTGAGAGACTTTTTTTCTAGCTTGCTCTCTTTCTATAGACACAGCCATGGCTACTTACGATACGGCAAAAACCCAATTCGTCAAGGTGGACGGCCTTACCTTTGCCTATAGACAACTCGGCGCATCGCACGGCATCCCGTTACTATTCGTCCCAGGCTTCAAGTGAGTCGCCCGATTGATTAGCATTCATTTCATTTGCCCATTCTTCGGAATTTTGCAGTTTTGAGAAATGGTTGTATGAAAAGGGCCACCGCTGATACCGTCGACTTTGCCTCGGCTGTTGCGACACAGACAAACAATGGATCATTGGGACCCAGCATTGGTCAATCCTCTGGCCGCCCAGCGTCCAGTATTACTCAGGGTTGTAAATTAGTATTTAGTATTTAGTTACTAATTTAGTATTAGTATTAGTATTTAGTATTTTTAGTATTAGTTACTAA